ACGTGCCTGTAATTCTGGCTTATATGAATTCTTTATTTTGTTATTCTAATTTTTATAGAATATAAATGTTACATATATGTTATATTTACTACCGGTGTTTTTTCCCCTTTTTAACGTTTTGTGTTTTAGTTTTATTATTATTATTTTTTTACTATGGTGTCAATTTTCTTTTTCTTTCTTTTTTTTTTTTTTTGGTCTTTTTGAGACAAGGTCTCACTGTACCATTTAGGCTGTTCTTGAACTCAGTTTGTAGCACAGGCTGGCCATCAACTTGTAATGATCTTCCTGCCTCAGCCTCCCAAGTGCTGGGATTACAGGTGTGTGCCCCCCCTGCCCCCCTGCCCCCGCCAGCTAATTTTCTTTTAAATTTTATTTGAACACTTAGATTCCATGTATTTTAAGGTTTTGTTGTTTATTTATTTATTTATTTGAGATGGTTTTTCTGTGCAGTTCAGGCTGGCCTTGACTCACTTTGTTTCCCAGGCTGGCCTTGAACTCACAGCAATCTTCCTGCCTCAGCCTCCCAAGGGCTGGGATTATAGTTGTGTGCCACCATGCCAAGCTATTCTGAGGTTTTTGTACTAAAATATTTTTGCAAATTTTGTCTGTCTTTATAGATGTGATTTTTGAGTTCCTTTCCTGCTCATCCAATGTACATTCTGTCACTTCTCAGTAAGTCTTCAGAATGCAAGATACTTCTATCCCTGCTCATAATACTGTCCATAAAATTCAAGTATACTTGTGTCTTCTGTTTAATTTCTGTGTTCCTTAATTCACTACAGGTTTTGAGTTGAATAACCTTCTAGCTGATTTCTATAGCAAGGAGCACTCAATCGGGGAGGAGGGTTTTTTTTTTAATGTTTTCACATTTGGCTAAGAGGTAATTGGTGTGTGGGGAAGTCATAGTAACATTCAGGGACTTCGAACAGTGTCCCAGGCTTGTGGGAACACGTGGTTGTGTCCTTCCACCGTGTAGTGTTCTGGGAATGTCACTGGAATCTGTTCCTGCGGCGGGAGAAGAGAAGGAAGAAGAGTTGCAAGAGAAGGGGAAGGAGGACGTGGAAGCGGACACTTCAGATGATACCACACACTCCCTTGGTGCTGAAGGTAGCCTGTGCCTTTTTCAGCAGAGTACATTCTTCTGTGTTCCTTTAACATGAGCATGTGGATGTTTGAGTTTCTTGTTAGCAGGTTCAGGATTTCTCATGATTAAATTGAGTCATTAAGAAATGTGCTCATCATTTAAAGTCTTCCATCTGATTTATCCAAGAACTTGTAGCTCATTGGATAGTCCTTTTCTGCATATTGGCTCTTTTTTTTTTGCTCTCCTTTACTTTTTTTTGAAATAGTTAGGCTCTGAATAGGTTTTTGTGTGGGTCTGGGTTATGGTGTATCTTCAGAATGTAGACAGAGTCTACCATATTCAGATTTTTGCTTCATTATATATTTTTCCCTTTCATTCCTTTTTTTTTTATTTTTTTTTTAAAAAGTAAAAGAAGGATAACAGTAGTGGGGGAGGGCTTACCAAATTCCCCCTTCATTCTTAATGCACTTATTCTTGATTTTTCCTAGGAATTGAACTGAGGGTCTTGTATGACTCTTTCATTTTTTTTGGAAGTATTTTTCAGGGGCAAGGTTTTGATGTGAAGAACTTAACATGATCTTGTTTTGCCAAGGGACAGCAGCTTTCACCTTGATAGTATTGTGGGGAGATTCCTAATTTCTTGGAGTTTCGTCCTAGATCCTGCCTCATCACAGCTGGGCTTTGGGGTCCTAGAACTCTCTCAGAGTCAGGATGTTGAAGAGCATATTGTCCCATATGAAGTAGACAAAGAACACCTACAGTTACTAACCACCAACTCTGGTTATGGCAGGCTCTCCTGTGTGGATGCAGATACTGGTATGAAATGCTTTTCTCACTTTTGGAGTTATGATATTTATGATATTTTCTTTCCCTTGATAAGTTTTATACCTGCCCAAATTAATATAATCTTAAGTTGATATAGTAAGTTTGCAGTTAGCTGGTAAATACTTGATGGCTTGCAAATTGAGATTTTCTATAAGTAGTTATTGGTGCTTTCCTTTTGTGGAAAGTATATATTTATATATACTTTAAGTTGGACTGACTTCTTTTAAAAATCTTTGCATTTTAAAATCATTTGGGTGGGCTGGGAAAGTGGCTCAGTGGAGGGCTTCCCTCTCATTTACCAGACTCTGGGTTTCATTCATCTGGGACTGCTTCTTGTACTTTGAATAATGTCTCCTCCTTGTCTCTTTTCCTTCCTTTTGTTTTTTTCTAAACCTTGAAGCAGTTAAACATGACGGGCAGCGCAGTGAAGGTACCCCTGTGGCGGAACAGCCCAGCAAGGACGCCCCTGTGACCCCAGAGCCGGGTAAAGTGGTGCAGGTGGTAGAAGAGCAAAGTCCAACACCAGCAAGGTAAATTAGTTTTCTCTTTTTTTCTTTCATTTGTTGTTCTTTCTTTCATTTGTTTGTTCGTTCTTTTATTCTTTCTTTCGTTTGTTTATTTCTTCCTTCCTTCTCTTTCTAGTTCGTAGATTTTTGCTTTTGAGTTACACTGTTTTTATGTTGCTGGGTAGATACTTTTTTTAGGAATTGTTGATTTTTTTTATTTGCCCCGTTATACTTGGCATATTTCGTGTCTAATAGGAAGAGTGATTACTTACAAACATTGTTTATCTATGCAGTGTCATTGTGTCCTCATCGTAATTTATGCCTTTACAGAGGAGCTCTGAAGCTGCTGTCACTAGACGATCCCAATCTTTGGTTGCCACTCCTCCTGTTACCTTTGTGTGCAGAGCTGCTGTCTCTAGAGCAGGTCTTTTTAGCCTCTCGAGTGTTAGGAAGAGTCACATAAATATATTTGAAGATTTGCTCTTCCCATACTTGTTTTTGTTTTTTTTTTTCTTTTTGAGACAGGGTCTCGCTATACAGTTCAGGCTGGCCTTGAGCTCACTTTGTAGCCCAGGCTGGTCTCGAACTCGCAGTGATCCTCCTGACTCAGCCTCTCGAGTGCTGGGATTACAGGTGTGCGCCACCACGCCCTGCCACTCTCTCCATACTTGAACACTCACATGGCTTTGGGTCTTTAGGTATCCTGCCTCTGGTAGTTTATGGGAAAGATAGATGTAGGAGCTTTTCCAAGTGTTTACAGCTCTTGGCAGGAATTGGATAATACACTCACCTTTGCTCTACCTCTGGTGATTATTTTATCCAAAACTAGATTTTAGACTTATTTCTATTAAAATCGTTTGTTGGCTGGGGCTATAGCTCAGTGGTGGAGAACATGCCTAGCAGCAGTGGGGGGCTGCATATAGCAGAGGAAAACTGGGAGGATTTCATTTTGAGTAAGTATTCAGTATTGTTTCATTATTTTCTTCAGAAGAAAAAGTGGACAGTGAGGTCGTGAATAAAGTTGAATGTCAAGAGTTGTCTTTCTGATATAAAATACTTAGCTTAACAGTAGATGCATTTTTAGGTTTTTCTTTTTTTACTCATAAAAATAGTAAGTTTCTTGACCCTATTGTAGTAAGATAGGGTCTTACTATGTAGTCCAGGTTGTCCTTGAATCCATGATGATCCTCCTGCCTCAGTCTCCTGAGTGCTGGCATTACAAGCATGCACCACTGCTTCCAGCTAGGTTTTTCTTTAGGAAGTTCTTCTTTCACCTGTTTTGGCTATCCTGTTTACTCTGCATAGTGGTAGGATAGGTAAAAGTCTCTAGGAAGGGATTAAAATGATTGTCTTGTCAGGCAAAGTGGCATATATCTATAATTCTGACTACCCAGGTGGCTGAGGCAAGAGGATCACAAGTTTCAGTCAGCCTGAGGCAACTTAGCAATTTAGTTGAGACCCTGTCTCTCAAGACAATGCGGCGGGAAAGGGGGCTAAAGTTGTATCTCTGTTTTTCTTTTTTTTGTTTTTGTTTTTTTTTGTTGTTGTTGTTGTTTTTTTTTATTTTTTTCTTTGTTTTTTTCCGGTACCAGGAATCGAACTCACGACCTTCCACGTGCCAGGCAGGCACTGTGCTGCTGAGCTAAATCCCTAGCCCTGTTTTTGTTTTGTTTTTCTTCTGGTACCAGGAATTGAACTCACAACCTTGCACTTGTCAGGCAGGCGCTTTGCCGCTGAGCTAAATCCCCAGCCCCTGTATCTCTGTTGTTCAATCCTTGGCACTGGGGAATAAAAAAAAGTTGCTTTACATGTATAAGTAGGATCAGTGCCAAGGAGTCCTGACTTGCGGCATGGTTGAGTAGATGAAATGGCAGCAGCAGAGGATGATTCACATTGGAGCACTTTCCAGGGAAGGTTGCTGTTTGGACTGCCCTCCTTAGTGGCAGTGCCATGGTTGGGGTCAGAACGTTTCATACAAGTCTAGTTAACAGCTTATGTAGCAGAAATCTCCAGCTCACTGTGCAGAAATCTTGGAAAGCATGCAGCTCCGCAGTGAGCTGAACTGAAGAGAGGCGTTGCTGTGCATGAGACTCAGGCAGGCTTTGAAATGAGCTGAGGGCTTCGCAGAGTAACTTACTTTGCTTTCAGTAGGTCATAATACAGATTATAGCTACTGGGAATTTTGAAATTATTAAAGAAAAAATACAAAATAGGAAAAGTTTTCTGGTGAACAGATGAAGACTGAATTGAGCAACCTTTTCTCTTGGTGATGTGACTTTCGTAGGTTAGAAGACCTGCCATCTAGTCCTGGAGTGTCTCACACTGCTACGGAAACAAAAGAACAAACATCTGCTCAAGACCTTCTGGAAGGTGGATTACAGATTCAGAAATCACCAGAGCCTGAGGTTTTGTCAACTCAGGAGGACTTGTTTGACCAGAGCAATAAAACAGGTATAAAGGACGATTAGTTGTTACAGCTAGCTCCTCTTCTCGAAAGAGTGAAATTTTTATTTTAGTCCAGAGGCTAATGTGTAAGTTCGAAAGCACTTCAGAGATGTGCGGACTTGTTTGTGATATGGAAGGAAAATGTTTATAGCTAATTAGAGAGAAAGGCTTTTGGGAAGTTTTTGCTGTTTAACGTTTTTTTTTTTTGTTTGTTTGTTTTGTTTTTCTCCGGTACTGGGAACCGAACTCACGACCTTGCACTTGCCAGGCAGGCGCTTTTGCCACTGAGCTAAATCCCCAGCCCCTGTTTAACGTTTTAACATGATTTTCTCTTTTGGAAATAGTTATTAACAACAGCTAACTAAGTCAATTTAGTATTATGCGTAGGATTAGCCATTTTTTCTTCAGTTATCATGTGCTTACTGAATCTTCAAGTGTTAAATATAGTAAGTTTAGTTTTTCATATTGAGCTGGGTGTCAGTCTGCTTACTACTCATCTGTGTCTTAGTTCACCTACTACAAAGAGGCAGTTAAGGTTTACTAGAAAGGACAGAAAACTTGGAAGAATAAAATGGTGCTTATCTCATACACTTTTAGTCTCCCATCCCCCCCATTCCACAACCTCAGAGGGCAAGAAAGTGTCAGCAGCCACCACCCAGACACAGTGTGTTTTTTGTAAGAAGGGATGAGAAGACTGTATTTACTATTTGGTGATGGCGCTTGCTGTGCAGAACATTCACAAGGTGACCAAAGAGCCCCTTTTCACTTCCTCACTAAAGCTGTAAGGTTGTATTTAAGGTATTTCTGTACCCTTAGGATGAATATAGTTGATAGTCTGTGTGTTGCTAAGGAGAGGGGACCAGTAGGAAACTTCATAATACAAATCAGCCGCTCATACTTTCTTTTATTAGCGCATTAGTATTCATCTCCTTTGAGGAGGCCCAAGTTCTAATCATGAAAATTGCTGCGTTCGTATCATCAGGTGTCATGCGCATACTTTTGACTTCTCCCATCCGCACCATGGCATGAGCTTTACCTCACCTTAGGTAGACCTGGGAATAAAAGGCTCGCTTGCTGTTTTATAATAGAAGCTTCACAAGAAAGAAGAGCAGCCAAGCAGAGGTATAAGGATTCTGGCTTTTCCTCTCCAAGTTTGGATTATGACAGAAATTCAGGATTCAGGAACTTTTTTCTTCAATACCTTGTTAAAGATACCCATAACTTGGGGGGGTTAATATTCACTGAAGATTTGTCTTATGGCATTCCATTAAGTATACTATGATTAGAACAAAATTTCTGCCCTCTCGAAACATGGTTGGTAATATGGATATTACTGCTTTTGTAGTACTTTTTTCTTTTTGTTTTGGGCAAATCAGTACCATCAGTCTGAGAGGTAAATGCAAGAAAGAAAGAATTTCTTTCTTTTCTTTTTACTCAGTAGCTTCTGATGGTTGCTCTACTCCTTCAAAGGAGGAAGGTGGATGTTCTCCGGCTTCCACACCTGCTACCACTCTGCCCGTCCTGCAGTTTTCTGGCCAGAGGTCCCTCATACAGGAGAGTCTGTCTACGTAAGTAGGTCACACTGTATCTGAGGGCTTGGGCTGAGGGTAGCAGAGCTGAAGTTGCTTGTTGGTCCAGAATTCTTATTAAACCAAAAAGTAGAATCTAGGCATTAGACCTCCTGGTGTAAGGACTGAGTTTAACGATCAAGGGCAGTTAGATCTATTTCCGACATAGGCTTTGTAACAGTCGATCAAAATTTTCACCAGGACAGAAAATGCCCAGGTATTTAGAATGTATTATATATCCCAAGTAAGCATTCTGTTGTTTTATTTTACCAGCATTTCTTCTCAGTTGACATCATGGGGAAAATAGGTCAGTCGTAGTTAACAGTTAACAGTAGTTAACAGTAGTTCAATTCTTCATCTCAGTGGTATGGCAGAGAGGTTTGCTTTTCTGTTTTTTGTTTGTGTTTGTTTTAAAATAAAAATATATAGTCTTCCTAATTATGCAAAAGTGGCATTTTTTTAATGTCTCAAACCTGCAGTGACATCATTTTTTAGCACTTGCTCATTGTTTTTCAGTCATGATGCCCTTGTGTTTAGGCATCCACTTTGCCCTTACTCTTTCTAAAAAATTTTATATTAAAAATGTCTGAGGGGCTGGGGATTTAGCTCAGCGGCAAAAGCGCCTGCCTGGCAAGCGCAAGGTCGTGAGTTTGGTTCCCAGTACCGGAGAAAAACCAAAAAAAAATAAAAATAAAAATAAAAATGTCTGAAGCCGGATGTGGTGGTACACACCTGTAATCCCAGTGCTTGGGAGGCTGAGGCAGGAGAATCGTGAGTTTGAGGCCAGCCTAGGATACACAGTGAGCTGACGGCTAGCCTGGACTATGTAGAAGTAATTTTTTAGCGGTTCTTCTACCAGTTTCAGATTGTTGTTTAGGAGGAATGCTGTTAGGTATTGATCTGAATGAGTTAGATATTTTTGATATTACAAAGTAAAAACAAATATGGAAACTATGGCTGTGGTAAAATAACCTGTGATTCTCTCTTTATATAAAGGAATTCCTCAGATCTTGTTGCTCCTTCCCCTGATGCTTTCCGATCTACCCCTTTTATCGTTCCTAGCAGTCCCACAGAGCAAGAAGGGAGAAAAGGTGAGCACTCTTGATCTGTCTGTTAATCTCAGGTGAGAAGAGGAGGCCAGGATGTGTGGCTCAGTGGTAGAGTACGTGTGTAGCGTGCTCAAGGTCCTGGGTCTGATCCCCAGTTCTGCAAAGAAGAGGGAGCAGCACTGCATTTTTCTGCCATGCAGAATGTGCTGTTTCTTTGTACGTTAGAACACTGTCCCACATCCTGTTTGGAGACCCACATCTCTAACCTTCAGGGATATGACCTAGTGCAAAATGTTCGCTTTGGTACTTTGCTTAGATTCTTCTGAGAGCTTTGTGTTGTTTACTGAGTTTTTATAAAGGCCATTAAAAGAGAATTTGTATATCTTTAAAGTCGATGCAAATGATGTGTGTTCTTTTTATTTTTTTATTTTTTTTGATGCAAATGAATTAGTGTGGTGAGGACCTGGGTTTTTTACTAGTGGTCTACTAGTTTCCGGTAACATGCTAACATGTTTCTGGTGAGAGGGAACCAGAGATTGTTATTTTTACTATTAAATAGTTTTATCCAAAGAGTGGCTAGGAGCAGGTGGTAAAAGTTTTAATTTACTCATTTTTCTCCTCTAAGGACTTAACTGGTTTTTGTATTATTTTATTCACAAGAAAGCCTTTTCACTCACCTAATTTTATTTTGTTTGCTTTTGGTGGTACTGGTGATTAAACCCAGGACCTTGCATATGCTAGGCAAATGCTCTAATGCTGAACTGCGTCCCAGCCCTTTTTATTTTGAGACAGGTCTCACTGAGTCACCCAGGCTGCCCTTGAATTTTATTATTTTCCAGCCTTAGTCTCCTGAGCATCTGGGATTACAGGTGCATACCGCTGTACCTGGCTTAACTGATTTATCTTAGTTACCTAAACCTCTTTTGCTCTGCTCTAGGCTCCAATCTAGCCATGTAATGTATTCTAAATGCCTAGTATTTCTGCAAAGTTTTTTTTCCCCAGTAAATTTTATGCTTGTCTCCTTTTTATTCTTTCATATGTCCGTAATATTACAGTACCAAATTTTTATTGAGCATTGAGTGTGTCACACACTGTCCTAGGTGCTGCCCTTTGGGTCCAGGTGCCTCTCTATAGTTTTTCTCATTGAATCTTCACATCTAAGCAGTAGGTGTCACTTTTTCCGCCTCTTACAGATAAAGATACAGAGGCACAGGGGCTGCTTCATGAGTGGTGAGATGTAGTGGTAGGATTTGAACTTGGGTGGTTGCCTCCCGAGGGTGTGCTCTTATTGTCATGTGCATGCTGCCTGTGATAGCCTGCTGTCTCTGCTTTAAGTGCAGTCATTATAGAAATGCATTTAGCTGTTTTTCAAATGTAATTTATCTGCAGATTGTCTCCAACTGTTTTCTTTTGAAATCACTTGTGGTAGCCAAATAAACTAACATCATTCTAATCATAAGATGATGAATACCCACTGAATCTTCAAGTGTTAAATATAGTAAGTTTAGTTTTTCATATTGAGCTGGGTAAATCCATCCTACAAAAAACCCTATTAATGCAAGTTAAGTTTGCTTAATGCGTAGAACAGTTTTTTCTGTTGGTGGTGTGAACGCTGAAAATATATAAAAATGATTATACTTTCTCCCTGATTCAAGGTAAATCCATCCTACAAAAAACCCTATTAATGCAAGTTAAGTTTGCTTAATGCGTAGAACAGTTTTTTCTGTTGGTGGTGTGAACGCTGAAAATATATAAAAATGATTATACTTTCTCCCTGATTAGGCTTTTAATAGTACTCATTATAGAAAATTTAGAAAATGTATAGGAAACTAGTACGAAGAAAATAAAATGACCTGTAATACCACATTCCACATTTAATTACTGTTAGGATTTGGATATAGTCCTTTGAGAGTCCTTTCTATGCATAACTATGAGAAAGTATTTTTGGCTGGGTGTGGTGGCTCACGCCTGTAATCCCAGCACTTGGGAGGCTGAGGCAAGAGGATTGCTGTGAGTTTGAGGCCATCCTGAAGTGCATAGTGAAACACTGTCTCAAAAAGACTAGAAAAAAAAAAGTAGTTTTACACGGTTGGCATCCTATTGTGTGTATGATTCAGTTTTTCCATGTAATATATTATCATTGTCAGTGTATTTCGGATTTAATGCATTTGCTTAATATGTGTATCCATGTTTGTGAGACTGTATATGCTTTTCATGTGTGGTTTTTGCTGTCTTCTTAACCTGAAGTATTTTCATATGTGGTGCCTAAAGTAGTGGGTCCTTAATATGTTTTGTCATGACAAAAAAATGTCACAAGGTGAGATGAAAATGCTGAGCACAGCTGTGGCAGTGTGTCAAGCCCTGTAGCACCGGCTCCCCAGCTGGCAGTAAGTAGGTTGGCGCATGACATGGAGGCCTCTGAGCAGCATGGGTAGGTACTGAGCTGGGAGTGTAGAGCGCCCACCGCGTGAGTGCAGACGGGGGACGCACTGCTGTAGGAATTGATGCGTGGTCTGGAGGAAGCCTGCTTGGGGTCAAGCTGTAAGACAGAGGAAGAAGTGTGATGCAGACTGTGAGGAAGCACGTGTGTTGTGTGTTTGCTCCCTCTTGAGTAATTTGTGTTGGTTTTAGTGACTCCTCAGGACTTGGATGCAGTGGTGCTGATTGGCATCGATAGGTCTTTGCCTTCCTTTTTATTTGTATAGGCACCCGTCTTTCTACACTTAGCAGTTGTTAATTTAAATATAATGAGTTCATAAATATGTAGACATTTACTCAATGTGGTGAACAAATTCACTGCCTTTTACATCCTGGAGCGTAATATGTCATGGTTAAATTAAGTGGCATTAATCTGGGCATCCCGTGCAGAGTGAGAAAAACCAACTCTCTAGAATTAGGAAAGGGGCTGAGGAGCCAAGTTAACGTATCTTGTAAATGGGTAGGTGTCCCCAGCTATTCAGTTGTGTGTTTTCTATTAGTACGTGTTTGTAGTGCATACTGACCACATTTATCATGTGGAATTGATAACTCACAGAACGCAATTAATTCTTTTTATATCCCATCCCCCACCTCCCTCTCTTGGTCTCCTTTCTATTTGCAAAACCCAGATTTTAACCTAATAGAAGCATGGTTACTTCTCCTTCCCCACTCTTATCATAGGAAGAAAACATTACTAGGACTCAATTTATTATTTATTGTTTTCTTTTTCTTTTTTCCTTTCTTTTTTTTTTGGTACTGGGACTCTAACCTAGGACCTTGCGCTTGCCAGGCAGGCGCTTGTGTCACTGAGCTATATCCCCAGCCCTATTTATTGTAAGTTAAAGTCTGGGTTTTTTTTTTTTTTTTTTTTCTGTAAAGACAGGTCTTGCTATGTAGTTCAGGCTGCCCTGAAACTCATTGTGTAGCCGGGCTGGCCTTGAACTCGCAGCAATCCTCCTGCCTCAGCCTCACAAGTGCTGGGGTTATAGGCGTGCGCCATCATGCCCAGCCTAAAGTCATTATTTTTTTTACAAGAAATTTCTGTAGAATTATTTTCAATAGTACTGGAACACGAGTAGTATTGACAAGTGATTATTTGTTTTTCTTTTTTTAAACCAGACGAACCAGTGGATATGTCAGTGTTGACTGAGAGCGGAGTGGAGCCTTTTCAGAACAAACTCCAAGCCAGCGATCCAGTGCAAATAGAAAACACGTCTCTCCCCCCTGCACGTACTGTGTCTCCGCAAGCATCAACGCCGGTGTCTCAGAGCACGCCCGTGTTTACCCCTGGCTCCCTTCCTGTCCCGTCACAGCCTGAGTTTTCACATGTGAGTATTGGATGAAGAGTTTTTTGTTTCCTCTTAACATATAATTTATAAACAGTGAAATTCACCCACTGAAGTGTATTATTTAGTGATAGTGTAGTGAATCTATAAAGTGCGGTACCTGTCATCACATTTAAGTTTAGAGCATTTTTGGTCACCTAACATCGTAATGTACTATTTGTGTTTAAATTTTGTGCTATCTCTGTAAGTTTTTGGAAAATGTTATTGTGAAATTGAAAGAGGTCATGGGTCATTGTGCTGTCTTACAACTCCTGTCATTTTTGTTTTCCCGCAGGCCTACTATTTTCAAAAAGGAAATTGTTTATGATGGACATATACCTTGAATCTTTTCCCTGTTAACCTTGGTCATAATAATTTTTAGGGTTATATCATCTTCATCTTATCCTTTCAAAAACTGTGATCTTTATGAGTAGATATATAGCAGTCTTATTATTCTTTCCCCATTCCTGCTCTAAGGACATCAGGATGATTGATTTTTAGATTTTTTTTTTTTTTTTTTTTTGAGATAGTCCCGCTGTGTAGTTCAGGCTGGCATGAACTCACTGTGTAGCCCAGGCTGGCTTTGAACTTGCAGCAATCCTCCTGTCTCAGCCTCCCGAGTGGTGGGATTACAGGTGTGAAACACCATGCTTCGTTGAGTTTTAGGTTTTTGATATATATTTTCTTCTAAAAACAAAAGGAGACTAATTCCTAGTTTATATAATTTGAAATGCAATTTTCATAGAGTTGCAGGTCCTTAGTTGCATCTAAATGACTGTATTGTATGTTGAATCTAAGAGATGGTTTTTTTTGGTTGGGTTTTTTTTTTTCCAGTACCAGGAATCGAACTCACGACCTTGCGCTTGCCAGGCAGGCGCTGTGCCGCTGAGCTAAATCCCCAGCTGTATGTTGAATCTAAATGTTTGTTCTTAGGGCTTAGGATGTTACTCAGTGTTAGAATGTTTTCCCAGCATGTGGAAAAATGGCTCTAGGTTCAATCCCCAGTACTGAGGGGAAAGAAGAATGCCTGTTCTTGTATAGGTATTATTGGGAGAATCTTTCACGCCTTCTAGTTTATAGGTGTTATTACAAGTCTTTTTTTTCCCCCTGGTACCAGAAATTGAACTCAGGACCTTGCACTTGCTAGGCAGGTGCTTGTGCCAGTGAGCTATATCCCTGGCCCTACAAAAGTCTGTATTCAAAAATAGAATTTGAAAATGAATAGTAAAGAGATATGCTATGAATATAGTGAGGGGATAGTAGGAAGAAGGAAATTTAATTTCTTCCTGGGGTTTTAAAACTTGTTTTGCTGAAGAATTCCATTTTAAGGAATTAGAAGGAATGTGGTAAAATGGTTATGAACATGGATAGTGGAGTCAGAATTAACTGGAGTCGTTCTAGTTCTGTGGTTACTATTGTGGCCGATCAAAACTGAGCCTCTTTTTCCTTGTCAGTCAAATGGGGATTTAAAAATTTATTTAGTTTTTTATTTTGCTATTCTGTGGATTGAACCCAGGGCCTTTGCATTGAACTGTATCACCAGCACTTTAAAATTTTTTTAAATTCTGAGATAGCGCCTTACTAAGTTACTGAGTTGCCCAGGCTAGGCTTGAATTTGCGATCTTCTCTTGCCCCAGCCTCTCAGTGCTGTAGTACAGGCCTGTGTCATGATTCTGTCTCCAGCTCAAATGGGAATTTTGTAGTATCTACCTCAATGTAGTCATGGGGTTAATAAGTATAATGTCACTAGGATAGTGCCATGTATGTGGTAAATACTGCATAAGGTTTTTACGGCTGGCAATGAAAGAGTTACATAGATATGGAATAGATATTTAACCACCGTCCGTCTTTGTCTTTAGTTTTTCTGTTGCTATAAAAGTTACTTTTTTTTTGTACCGGGAATCATACTTAGTACCTTGCGCTTGCCAGGCAGGTGCTGTGCCGCTGAGCTGTATCCCCGGCCCCTTTGAAAGTTATACATCAGCATAATATAGAACAGAAGAATCACTGAGATTAACAGATAAGTTGTAAACATTGACCTAAAGCACTGAGAAGAATATTCTCTTGAAAAATGTAGCTGATGCTGAAGGCAGTAGTTGCAGGTGTTTTTCAGTGAGCAAACAGAACTTTTATGAAAGTGAATCTTTGCAGAGGTGTCCGTACCATTGAGAGGAAACAATGGCTACACAGAGATCCAGCTTTTTTTTTTTTTTTTTGTCTTTTTGCAGTAGGGTCTTGCTATGCAGTTCAGGCTGGCCTTGAGCTCACTTTGTAGCCCAGGCTTGGCTTCAACTTGCAACGATCCTCCTGCCTCAGCCTCCCGAGTGCTGGGATTACAGGCGCATGCCACCAGACCTGGCGAGATCCAGGTTTATGAAGACTTGCTGTAGGAAATTGTTCTGCCTCAACATTCACCAAATACCTTTAGCAGCAACTAGAAAACCAGCAGTGAAAATATGATACAAATGAGTCATTCTCAGTGTACTTCAAAAATTTTCTGGAACCGGAGATGACTCTGATCACATTTCTTTGTAATCATATTTTAAGATGCTTCAGCAGTACAGTCCGTGCCTCTTTTTTTTTTTTTTTTTTTTAAAAAAAACACTCTGAAGAGGACCTTTACAACATAGCTTTTAAATTAAGGGTTTGATTTTAGGTAATTAGTAAACATTTGTGAACAAAAAAAAATTAAAACAGTTCTTCCTTCACCTCTACACAAATATACTTTCAGTTCCTTTTTTTTTGCTCTCCTCTGGATTGAACCCACTGCCTTTACACTGAGCTAGATCTCCAACCCTTTTAAAATTTTGCTTTTTAATTTTTATTTTGACCTGGGCATAGTGATGCATGCCTCTAATCTTTGCACTTGGGAAGGTGAGGCAGGAGAATTGCCACGAGTTCAAGGCCAGCTCCCTGGGCTACAAAGTGAGGTTAAGGTCGGCCTGGGCTACATAGCAAAACCCTGTGTCAAAAAACCAAAAAAAAAAAAACCAACAAAAAAACAAAAACCAACCAAAAAAACCTAAAAACCTGAATACTTAATTTTTATTTTGAGACAGAGTCTTGCTAATTTTCTAAATTCCCCAGGCTGGGCTTGAATTTGTAATCTTCCTGCCTCAGCCTCCCCGAGTGTTAGAATTATAAGGCATGTGCCATCACCCGTGGTTTTCGCTTTCAGTACTTTTTTCCTCTGATCAGTCTCCATAATTCTACCTCGCATGGTTATATTTTCACAAAATCTGTTTTTAAAAATGTGAGCCATGTCCCTGTTTTCTCATACAGTTCATCCTCATCTGCTTTAGATCGTTGGGTTAACAGTATGACTATGTAAGCGCTGATCGCAGCAGAGCTTGTGGAACGTTAGGGTTGTTTTACCATGTGTGCATAATTTCTTACCTTGGAAATTGTTGTCTCTGAATTTCTCACTTCTCAAATCAACCTTAAACCCTTCACTAATTTTCAGAACCTCCTTTTAAGGATGTTCAGCAGCCTCAAGCTTTCTGTTTCGTCTCTTTGGAGAAAACTGGCTTGCACCCCTAATGTCTGATTGTTTGTCATCGATGCCCTGTATGCCTGGTGCCTGGCTGTCATCTCCCTTGGTCGTCGTCCACGGAGCGCCTCCTTACCTTTGCGCTGGAGACCTCTTGGGCTGCATATGTTCTTCTCTTCCTCCTCCTGCCCTTTCTCTGTCTGTGGAAGAGATTGTGCAGAATTCCTTTCATTTCTTTTAATGTTTAGTAGAATTTGCCAATGGGGGGGGAAATAGGCCTAGACCTTTTCCTGTGGAAAGATTTTAAATTATGCGATCAACTTTATTTTTTGGACGTCTGTGTTGCTCAGCTTGGTCTCCAGCTCCTGGCTTAAAGGTTCTTCCAGCCTTTCAAATAGAGGCCTGGCCCTCGTGCACGCTGAGCCTAAGCTGTCCTTGGGCTGCGCCTCCAGCTCCCTCCCCTGTTCGGTGGGCTGCCTCTCTGTGGAGGGCATTCTCCAGGAGCCTTCATTCCACTCTCATAATTGATTTGTACTTTAGTTTGGAGGAATATAAACATCCAGATTGGCAATATTTTTCTTTCAAGTTTTTGAGGGCATTGCTTTGTTGTCTCTGAACTTCTTTTTTTTTTTTTTGCGGTGCCAGGGATCAAACTCAGGACTTTGTGCTTGCCAGGCAGGCGCTTATGCCACTGAGCTATATCCCTAGCCCCTCTGTTGTCTCTGAACTTCTGATGCTATTCTTGAGAAGTGTCAGGCCAGTCTTCAGTACATGGTATGTTCTTCTGTCTTGAAATCCTGCGGGATCTTCTCTTTGCCCCCAGCCATCTCAAATCTCCAGACCCTTGGCATGGGTCTGTTTTTAGTCATTAGAGTGGACAGTTGGTCAGCCCTCTCAGTGTAGAGACCCAGAGCCTTCATTCAGTTTAGAGAAGTTTAATTATTGTAATTTCCTCCCCTCCCCTCCTTTCTCCTGTCCTTAACACTTACTGTTTGGATGCTGAAACACCTCAAATGGACTTTAGTTTTTTCTCTCTTTTTTTTTTTTTTGAGACAGGGTCTCACTATGCAGTTCAGGCTGGCCTTGAGCTCACTTTGTAGCCCAGGCTGGTGTCAAACTCACAGTGATCCTCCTGCCTCAGCCTCCCGAGTGCTGAGATTATAGGCATGTGAGTTTTTCCTTACTCTGTTTCGTACTTTCCATCTCTGTGCTGTTCAGCTTCTTGAGTGATTGCCTCTGCCATCTTTCTTTTATTAGCTGTTTTTGAGGTATAGTTCATACTCTACCTATTTAAAGGGCACAATTCAGTGGCTTTTAGTATACTCACAGAGTGGCATATTCATCACCACAGTCCCAATTTTAGAACACTTTTATCATCCTCCAAAACCATGTCCGTTAGCACTTGCATTTTCCCAGCCACTGTCTGTCTGTATAGATTAGCCCCTGCTGGACATTTTCTATAAATGACATTTTACAACAGTCTTTTGTGGCTGGCTTCTTCCATTTAGTGAAA